TTGGCCAGGTTTGCCAAGACCAGGGGAAGGACATCAGTCCCGGCAAACACGGTCAAGGCAATCACATTACAAATTGGTGACAGAAGCGTGAATGGTGATGTGATGATAGAACCATGTGGCGCCGCACTGAGGGCAGGCGTCGTGTTACTGAGGACATACACATCAGCGGAAAATGGACTAGTTCAAGGATTAGTGGCAAATGTATTGGATGAGGAAATTTTTATACCGCCTAACACTCTGGTAGGAGTACCACAGAACGTCGAGGTACATAGGTCGGCACAGTGCATCGAACTGATCAATACCAGCAGTAATGAAGTAACAATTAGGTCGGTCAATGTGACGGCCGAGGTGAAGAAAGAGGATGGCCGATCATATACATTCCCGGAAACTGAGGACCCAAAATTAAATGAATTGCTGAATAAATACAGGGATATATTTGCCTCGTACGAGGGTGATTTGGGGTACACGGAAGTAATAAAACACCAGATACCCTTACTACAAGACAAGCCTGTGGCGCAACCCTATCGAAGATTACCACCAAGTCACTACTCTGCGGTGAAAGCACACCTGAACGATCTACTAAAAAAGGGAATTATTACAACCAGCACAAGCCAGTATGCGGCACCTATTGTAGTGGTAAAAAAGAAGTCAGGGGAGATAAGACTGTGTTGTGATTACCGGAAATTGAACAATATCACAAGAAGGGATGCATTCCCCTTGCCTCGTATTGATGAATGTCTTGATGCGTTGGGGGGAGCAAGATTTTTTTCTACCTTGGATTTGGCTAGCGGCTACCACCAAGTGGCCATGCACCCCAACGATCAACATAAGACTGCATTTATTTCTCCACTAGGACTGTACGAGTGGACCCGTATGCCGTTTGGTCTAACTAATGCACCTGCTACATTCCAGCGAGTAATGCAGAGTGCTATGAGTGACTTTCTATTTCAAATAATGTTGGTGTACTTGGATGATATACTAGTTTACTCAAAAACTTGGGAGGACCATCTAGAAAGATTAGAACAAGTGTTTCTCCGTCTTAGAGACATAGGAGTAAAGCTGAACCCAGACAAATGCTGCTTCGGTCTGAAATCGGTACGTTTTTTGGGTTATGTGATTTCGTCGGATGGCATCGCCACTGACCCAGATAAAATTGCAGCTGTTAAAGAATGGAAACAGCCAACAACCACAGTAGAGGTCAGATCATTCTTGGGCTTTGCTTCCTATTATAGAAAATTTGTACCTGGTTTTGCAAAAATTGCCGCACCGTTGCATGACTTGGTAAACAAAATGACAAAGAAACACAGTAAGGAGAAAAAGAAAGGCAAAACACAACTGATAGGTGAATTATGGACTGAGGAATGCCTGAACTCGTTTAAGCTACTGAAAAAGGCTTTGACAGAGGCGCCGATATTAGGATACGCAGACTTTGACAAGCCATTTCGGCTAGAAATTGACGCCAGCTCTAAAGGTCTGGGAGCTGTGCTATCACAACAACAAGAGCAAAGTTTCAGGGTTATTGCGTATGCCAGTCGAGCTCTGAAGGAATCAGAGAAGAACATGACAAATTACAGCGCCATGAAACTAGAACTTTTGACATTAAAATGGGCTGTGACTGAAAAATTCAGGGACTATCTATTAGGTGCTAAATGTGTGGTATACACTGACAATAACCCCCTCAGTCACCTAAAGACAGCAAAGTTGGGATCCATCGAACAGCGATGGGCAGCAGAATTGGCACTCTTTGACCTGGAGATAAAATATCGCCCGGGGCGGTCCAATGGCAATGCGGACGCCTTATCAAGGAATCCTTACGAGAGACCGGGCGATGAGGAAGAAACGCTGACAGGAATATGTGAGGTCAGAGCGTCAACAGATATCCCTCACGGGGTGCAAGTGATGCAAAACGGGCAGACCGGGGTGGAGCACATATCCACAGAGCCCGGACATATGGACATTAGTGATTTTAATTGCCTTAATCACAAAGAGATAAGAGATACCCAGAGAACGGATAGTGGCTTACAGCCGCTGTTGAAACACGTCCAGGAACAAAAATTCCCAAGAAGAAGGGAAAGAGAACAGTTTGGTCGGGAAACAAAGAAACTACTGAGTCAGTGGGACCGTCTCAGTATAAAGGATGGTGTTCTCATGCGGAGAATTCATGACCAAATAGATGGGACAATACACCAGGTGGTGGTGCCTGGACAGTTACGAGAAGAAGTGCTAAGGTTGGCACATGACAGGGCAGGACACCAGGGTCAGGACAGGACGCACAAAATATTACGACGGAGGTGTTACTGGCCCAATATGGAGATGGAGGTCAAACGCCATTGTGAGGCTTGTGTGAGGTGTCAGCATGCGAAAATGCCAGTTGTTAAAATGAGACAGCCATCAGGACACCTACTGGCGACAAAACCACTAGAGATTGTGGCTATGGACTTTACGTCGTTGGAGCAATCATCGGATGGGACGGAACATGTGTTGGTAATGACTGATGTATTCACCAAATGGACTGTTGCGGTGCCCACACGAGATCAGACGGCCAAAACAGTGGCAAAGGTCTTAATAGAACATTGGTTCATCAAATATGGCATACCAAGACAATTACACTCTGACCAAGGAAGGGCCTTCGAGTCAGAAGTAATTAACCAACTGTGCAGCCACTACGGGATCAACAAATCTAGAACAACCACATTTAATCCGAAAGGAAACGGACAGTGCGAGCGGTTCAACCGCAGCATGCATGATTTGCTGCGTACGCTAGAACCTGAACAGAAAAAACGTTGGCCTGATTTTCTCCCAGAGTTGGTATATCTATACAACTGCACCCCCCATGCCACAACCGGCTTTTCGCCACACATGTTACTGTTCGGACGGGAGGCTCGACTCCCTCTTGACTTGTTCCTAGGAAAAAAGGAGAGTATGACTGGCTCATACACCACACTAGAATATGTGAATGAACATATGAGACGAATTAGAGAAATGTACAAGGTGGTACAGGAAAGACTAGAACATGAAGCACGGCGAAGGGAACCGCCGGTACAGACAAAGGACCCGCCACTCAAACTGAACGACAGGGTATTACTGCGTAGCCACCCGTTAGGCAGAAACAAAATCCACGACCTCTGGGGACAGGAGATATGGCAAGTCGTGGAGATGCCTAAAATAGCCGGTGGCCCCTTTAAGATAAGACCCACCAATCACACCAAACCGGATCGGTGGGCGAATATTGCTCAATTAAAGAAATATTGTCATAGTCAAGAAGAGCAGTTACACACAAAGAAACCTAAGACAATTAGGGAACCGGAAATTACAACGGAAATTCACATACCCATCCCGGAACCATGTCACCATCAACAGCACAACAGCGATACACATGTGGAGGATAACGGCAACAATGAGAATCCCGATCCTCCCAGAAGCAGAGAGATAGTAGACCATCAGATAAGTGGTCCGCGGAGAAGTTTGAGAAACAGAAAGAATACGAAATTTTTCGTCAGCAACCATCAATTCTTTCATGGTCGCGCTGGTATGAGAACAGACTGTTCAAAAAGTTATAAAAGTGAACTGGTGAAGGCACCAAACGAAAAAAGGTGGATGTGAATTCTAGAACTGCCTTGTGTCTGAGGAATATGATGTAGACACATTTGATATGTGAAATAGGGATAACTGTCAATCTTTTACGAATGTGACGACATTGACAGTGAATGGAACAATAAATTTTTTTACGATGGTGCGATTGACATTTAAGAAGTGCACCTACCAAGCGTTGTTTGTGGTTGAAAACACACAAAAAAAAAGGCGGCGGTGGATGTAACTAGGTGTAGTTACCAGAGACGATAACAACGCAATAGTGCAGGTGTTAGGCTGATAACGATCACAAAGCCGCTGCGCAGTTCACAGGCTGACGTAACAGTGCAGATGGCTTATTAATCGGACTGTATGACAGAAGCGGCGTAATTAACATTCTGATGCAACGATTAGAATACGAGTACGAATACGAGTACGAATCCGATTACGAATCCGATTACGAATACGAAGGGATATATAGGAAGGCGACAGCTGAGAACGAGTCAGTCAGTCAGTCAAGGAGTAGAAGTGTGGCAGTATCAAGTTGGTTACTGAACGTTGTGGACGTATTGTGTTAATAGGGACGATAGACATGTGCATTCGGTTATGTGAAGACTAGTGAGGACGGTTGGGGGTCATTTGATTCATTATATTATTGTGAAGCATTTCTTTTGATTCATGTAATAAAAGGATCAATGGTAAACCTGCATCTTCGAGTATCTATATTGTGGTCGATGTTGTGTAGAATGAGTAAATACACTCGTTAACATTTGGCACTACAAGCAGATAGACTCGTTACATTTGGCGTTGTCTAGCAGTGGGATAGACTCGGGAAGGTTACATTTGGCGTGGTCGAGCAGAAGATGCAACTAGACACGGTTACATATATATATATATATATATATATATATATATATATATATATATATATATATATATATATATATATATATATAATGGAATCAATAGTCAAACTCGCATATCGCTACCTCTACACGGATATGGGCACGCTGTCATAAATAGCATGCTTCTACCAAACGAAAGTAAGGGGCGTAACGTTTCACTAAAGTAAGGGAAATAACATTGCACTAAAGTAACATTGTCGCCCTTTAAACAAAACAACACAATACGAATGTGTACCACTGTAGCCTATAAAACAGAATTCTCCATAAATACCTGAAATATTTGTCCCTCAGTTTTGTTCAGAGCCCAAATCCTTTCATAAAGGTATTTTATTTTTAAAAACGTAACTGACAGTCAACATTTTAACACTATAGTAGTTGTGCTGTGTTCATTTACAGACGTGGCGAGGGATATAAGTTGTAGTACTATGATCAAACTATAAAGTATTCGTATTTCAACTTTATTATGTCATGACTTTCAACTGACCAGAGCCATTAATTACCGTTATTGAGCAATTTTCTTATTGATATTTGCGACACAATAGATCTTCATTCAGAATCATACAGATCTTTGTGAAAACCCTGACAGGTAAAACCATTACCTTGGAGGTTGAGCCATCAGACACAATAGAAAATGTGAAGGCTAAAATACAGGACAAAGAAGGCATCCCTCCTGACCAGCAGAGATTAATTTTTGCTGGCAAACAACTTGAAGATGGACGCACACTATCAGACTACAACATTCAGAAAGAATCTACTCTTCATCTGGTTTTAAGACTTAGAGGAGGCATGCAAATCTTCGTGAAGACCCTCACTGGCAAAACCATCACCCTTGAGGTTGAACCATCAGACACCATTGAAAATGTCAAGGCCAAAATCCAAGACAAAGAAGGCATTCCCCCATATCAACAGCGTCTGATCTTTGTTGGCAAACAGCTAGAGGATGGTCGCACACAGTCAGATTACAACATTCAGAAAGAGTCAACTCTGCATCTTGTATTGCGTCTGAGAGGTGGAAACTAAAAGCCAAGTTTATCTTTAAGCCTAGTTTCACCAATCAACTTTTAAGCCTAGTTTCACCAATCATTTCTTTAGCCACATGAACTTTAAGAAATCTGTTAGGTTAAGTTAAAAATTCGAATGACTAGTAGATCTAAGTTTAAAAAAAAATTTTAGTTATTTAATTTTTGTCCTAAGAATCTTAACTGAACCTGTTTTTAATAAAAGCTAATAAATAAATAAATAATATTTTTTTAAAAAATATTATGCCATTTTACTTTCTCCATTTAATTACAACTAATACAATTGATGTTCATGTGTAAAACTACCAAATAAATTATTATTACTATTTTAAATGTTTAAAATAAATTTATATTTTAAAAAAAAATTGTGGGAGGACTGGTATAGATATAGATGTTAGAAAGGGAAGAATGTTTGATTTGATGTGTGTCATTGTACTCAACATAACATTCCTGGTTGCTTAAAATTTTTATAATTTTATTTTCTTTAATCCCAAATTTATTTCAGCTCTAATTAAAAGCCCAAACACCCTCAAACTACCACGCCGATGAAAAAAAAAATCCATTGAATCACCATTTAATTACACATTTGCATTTTTATTTTTATTTTTTAAAATTGTAATTAGGCGTTTTGTGTTAGATCTATGTGTAAGTAAACCATCTTAAATGAATGAAAGTAAGCTACTTGTAAGAAAGAAATATTACTATTGTTAATCTGTATCAAGTCTCACAAGCCAATGATGAAAACTGTAATACTAAAGCAAACATGCAAGGCAAATTGACGCTGTAAATTACATGTCTGAGGCGGGAGGGGGGGGGGGGGGGATCACAACATAAAAAAAATATCAGACCTAACTTAAAAATGCCTACTGGGAATACAATCAAACAAGTTTAGTGCAAGCAAATCTTATTGTATTACGTTTAATGTAGGTCCACTTAGTACAAAATTTATTTTGATAAAGATGGTAGAGAAGGTTTACCTGTTTTTCTAGACGAAACGTAACGACATAAGAACTGAAATATTTAGTGATGTTATTTCTTAAAGTGCAGACAGTTCGTCAAGACATTGCTACCGTCTGAGTGCCTTGTTATTTGTTATCTGATTGTATTCCAACGTAAAGGCCTAGTATCTGAACTCAAACCAACGACGCATACTTTGACTAAATTTGTCGGAACTTCGCAATCACCGAGGGACTTGAGCCTCAGGAAGAACTGCATCATCACCACTGTGGCCAGAAAACAGCGCTTTTTTAGCCCATGACAGAATCAATCTCATCGGCGGAGGGGGGCGGGGGATGACGTCTACCGCCCCGCCCCGCCCCCCCCCCCCCCCCCCCCCCGCCAAACAACCGAAATAGAATCTATATAGATAATATATACTTTTAACAGTGTCGGGCCGCCCCCCCTCCCCCTGGAAAACTTATTCCGCTCCCCCCCCACCCCTCAACCCCCCGGAGAAAAAAAAGGTCTGAAAGAAACACTGGGCAGAAGAAGGCAGCACACTTTTTACAAAAATCACTGCGTCATTCTTAAAAGTATACGTGTCTAAATGGCGTCAGTTTCTGAGACACTTAACTCGACAGACGTGACTAAAATTAAGAACAGTCTGCGCATGTCTGAGCGTGTCCAAATGAGATTTCGCGCTTTAAAAAACAGGTCATCACATAGAAGATCTCATACTTGAGCTCTAGCATATCATACTTATTGTAGCGTAGTCCTGCTTCAGCGGTACACACATAATAGATTTAGAATTCTATCATATCTCATGCTTGTTGCGTAAAAATAAAATGTTATCTCGGCATACGCAGGGATAGTTTGGTCAGCAATATGT